ATGAGTGAATGAAAGGAAATTAAGGATAAGAAAAATGAAAATTGAAAATAAATTACTAAAGCAAGTTTAGTTTATACAAACACTGAAATTAAAGAAAATTTGAGATTACATTCCGATACTGAAAACTGCATTTGAGCATTAAAGCTTGAACCAAGAAAGTTATTACTCCAACACCTGACTTCCACAGCCTGTTTTGAAAGCTGTAGGCCGATTCGAGACTATAAGGGGAGCAATTGCAACTCCCACTTGCAATCCACAGACAAATTCTTTCTTCCTCCCACCCTGAACATTCCACACCGCTTTGCTGTAGGCCCATTCGATGCTAAGCAGGTGGCCATTGCAACACTCCACTTGCCTCAAACAGGCAGGTCTTACTCCCACCCGAGACCTTCCAAGCCAGCTTTGAAGCTGCAAGGACATTCAATGCTAATCAGCATTGAAAAACCTTGCAGCTTCAAAGCCTGGCTGCTTCCTGCCTGGGGGAACCTTTTGTTTGTCAAGGTGGCCAATTGCAACATTCAAGGTGGCCAATTGCAACATTCAAGGTGGCCAACTGCAACATTCACATTAGCCTCCAACAGACAAGAGTTCTTTCTCCCACCCTGGACATTATTCCACAGATACATAAACCTCACACCCTGATTACCATCAAGGTGGCCAACTGCAACACTCACACTTGCCTCCAACAGACAAGAGTTCTTTCTCCCACCCTGGACCTTCCACAGCCAGGCTTTGAAGCTGCAAGACCATTCAATGTTAATCAAGGTGGCCAATTGCAGCATTCAGACTTATATCCAACAGAAAAGAGTTCTTTCTCCCACCCTGGACCTTCCACTTCCAGGCTCTGAAGCTGCAAGGCCATTCAATGCTAATCAAGGTGGCCAACTGCAACATTCACACTTGCCTCCAACAGACAAGAGTTCCGAATGTTGCCATTGGCCAGCTTGATGAGCATTGAGTGACCTTTCAGCTTCAAAGCCTGAAAATTCAGAAAAAAGGGAGTTCCAAGCATGAAACAATCAGGGCTGGTTAACACTTCCCAACAAAGGATTCCCCCAGGTAGGAAACAGCTAGGCTTTGAAGCTGCAGTGCTAATCAAGGTGGCCAATTGCAACATTCACACCTGCCTCCAACAGACAAGAGTTCTTGCCTAGTTTCCAACAGACTTCACAACCTCTGAGGATGCTTTTAGTCATAGATGTGGGCGAAACATCAGGAGGAAATGCTTCTGGAACATGGCCAGACAGCCAGGAAAACTCACAGCAACCCAATGTAGAAGTGGCCTAGATAAAGCTGTTACATATAACTGTTGACACTCAGGTTGGATATTGTTGTGTCGCTTTCTTTGTTTATTTATTTTTATCGGAAGGTTAACGTTGACATCTTGGTTCTAGAAACCGTTATTGGAAGATAGCTTGTGATTTTAGAAAGCGTTGTCTTGTTTTGGGTTGTTGTGAGTTCTCCGGGCTGTATGGCCATGTTCCAGAAGCATTCTCTCCTGACGTTTTCCTGCATCTATGGCAGGCACCCTAGTTTCCAACAGACCTCACAACCTCTGAGGATATCTGTCATAGATGCAGGCGAAACACAGCACATGGTTTTGTGGGTTTGATTCCTTTCATCGGGAAAATAATTCCACCGACCCAGGCGAATTATGGGGTGGGTTGGAGATTAATCTGTTTAGCGGTTAATTTGCTTGACTAATTTTGGGCTTTTTAGGGGATTCGTCGAGGCTCGGTGTCCTCTTTTCAAGGGAAATTGAGGCAAGCCGGCTGAGTCTGTGCCAATGTCTTCATGTGCAGCTGTGGCGAGGCGTGGGCAGTGATGTGCCTGTCCCCAACCCTCAAGCTGGCAACTCCGGGAGGGACGCAGCATTGGAAAGCCACCTCCTGGAAATGAGCTATCCCTCCACTTGTTTGCCCAAGACATTAAAACACATGACGCCTGCCTGCTTGAGACAACAAACAACAAATTAACTGGTGAAGCAAAAAGGATATGACCTACCCTCGGGCAGCTTTTTAATGCCTGCGCCGCCCCCGCAATCGCTTTGATCCAGCTGTGCATCTCCTCGGGGCTGTAGGCCTGCAAGCAGGGGAAGAGGAAGAGGAAGACTAGGATGAGACCTGTCCAAAGGCAGTTCTTTGACCCGCTCCTCAGGTCTCTTTGGGCTGAACCATGGCCCACGGTCTGTGCCCAATGGTAACGTGAAAGCCGACGGCACGCTATTTAACCTCAGGACTGATAGCCAAAACCAAGGTCACAACATCTTTTATAGAACTTCGATATACTGATGATAATGTAGTCTATGCAAATTTAGAAGAAGACCTACAAGCCACTCTAAACACCTTTGTAGAAGCATCAAGAAGCTCGGCCTCTCATTGAACATTGAGAAAACCAAAGTGCTTTTCCAGCAGTTCCCAGGCAATCCCTCTGCAATGCCAGAAATACAGCTTCCCACGCAAAAACGACTCCCCTGGCAAACAAAACACACAATAGCATATCCACACTCTCTTCTGGACTACAGCTCCCAGCATCCAATAGTCAGACCCTTTGGGAGAGGAGGATGATCCAAATGCACTGCTTCCAAGATGCAAGCTTTCTTCTCCTTGGATTTCTTTGAGAGCACCCCAATCCCGGCATATTTCCCATTTCCTATTCCTGGACTGCAACTCCCAACAATTCTCCAAATAGATAGATTAGATAGTAATATGTACATAGGTAGATAGATCGATCAGGAGGACTGCTGGGAGTTGCAGACCAAGAATAGGTAGAGAAGGAAGAACTGGGAGAAAGGGGAAGGGAAAGAAAAGGGGGAAGGAAAGAAAGGAGAGAAAGAGGGAGGGAAGGTTGGCCACAGCAATGTGTGTGTGGCCGATACAGCTAGTATAATAATAATAATAATAATAATAATAATAATAACGTCAAGAACCAACATTGAGGGAAGTCAAAAGTAGTAAACTGCTTCAAGTGCAAAAGACAAAGAAGGAAAACCATATAAACACAATCCAGAGGAGAAGGGAAGACTGGCCAAAGAAGGCTCTCTCTCCCTGGACAGTTCCTGGGGGAAATTGAGGGCCAAATGGACAAAGAAAAAACATGGCTGTGGCTCACAAAGTGGAACTCTGAAAAAGGAGACAAAGGAGGGCCTGATTCTGGCTGCCCAAGAACAAGCCATTTGAACCAAAGCCATCCAAGCCAGGATTGAAAAGTTGATGACAGACCCCAAATGTAGACTCTGAAAGGAAGCAGGTGAAACAATAGATCCCATCCTCAGCTGCTGCAAGAAGATTGTGCAGACAGACTACAAGCAGAAGCACAACACCGTTGTTCAGATGATCCATTGGACCTTGTGCCACAAACACCATCTGCCTGCGACAAAGAATTGGTGGGATCACAAGCCAGAAAATATTACAGAGAACGAACACGTCAAACTCCTCTGGGACTTCCGGATTCAGACAGACAGAGTTCTGGAGCACAACGCTCCTGACCTCACAATTGTGTTAAAAAATAAAGTATGGATCGTCAATGTCACAATCCCAGGGGACAGCAGGATTACAGAGAAACAACTGGAAAAGCTGACACGATACGAGGATTTAAAGGTTGAACTGCAAAGACTCTGGCACAAGCCAGTCAAGGTGGTCCCAGTGGTAATCAGCACACTGGGTGCAGAGCCTAAAGACCTTGGCCTGCACTTAAACACAATCGGCGCTGACAAAATTACCACCTGCCATGTGCAAAAGGTGACCTGCACGCATCATTCACCGATACATCACACAGTCCTAGACACTTAGGAAGTGTCTGACATGTGATCCAATTCAACAGCCAGCAGATATTTATTTATTTTATTTACAGTTTTTATATTCCGCCCTTCTCACCCCGCAGGGGACTCAGGGCGGATTACAGTATACACATATATGGCAAACATTCAATGCCAGTTTGACAAACAACATATACAGACAATGCACAGAGGCTATTTAACTTTTTTCTGGCCGCCAGGGGAGCTGCTGCTTTCATTGTCTACCAGCGACACCAATGAAGTTCTTCCGCATTCCACATTCCCCGGAATCTTTTCTTTATGGCCTCATAAATTAGTTAATTTAGCCTCCCACACAAGGTGGTACCTTATTTTCCTACTTGACAGATGCAACTGCCTTTTGGGTTGCAAAGGTTGACAACAGGCTACACACAATTGGTTGGAAACCCACTCCAACCCGGGCTGGCTTCGAACTAATGACCTTTTGGTCAGAGTGATCTTAATGCAGCTGACACTCAGCCAGCTGCGCCACAATCCCAGTGTCTGCTGAGGACTCACCTTATTGTGTTTCAAATAATAATAATAATAATAATAATAATAATAATAATAATAATAATAATAACAATAATAATAATAATCCATCACACAGTCCTAGGCACTTGGGAAGTGTCCGACGTGTGGTCCAATACAACAGCCAGCAGAGTGTCTGCTGTGGACTCACCTTGTTGGGTTTCAAATAATAATAATAATAATAATAATAATAATAATAATAATCCCTTTATTTCCAGCAAGAAATCTTGTCAAGAAAACAGAAATATGTTTCCTTTAGACATTAGATAGGAAAGACCTTAAAAGGATAGAAAAGCAACAAACAGAAAGCCATTCACAGCCATGTGAATTAGGACCCAGGCAAGGCATAGATCCATGCCAATAGCATCCATGTTTTAGAAAACAACAAGATTTGGCTTTGCCAAATGCATCAAAGATTCCTGCCATTTTGATCTCCAAGGAGAAAAAGTTTTCGTTCTCCTTTGTAGGAATGGAAGATGAGGGAATGCTTCCTTCCTGACTCCTCATCCAAGCCAAAATGCACCCCAGATCTATCCCTTCCTTAAACCTTTTCCTAAATTTCTCCAGTTGCAATAAAACCTGTGCAAACAGAAACGCAGGCAGTTTGTTGAAAAAGGCTGAAAAGCAACAAATCCCCCTGAGCTTTGGGTAAATATTGCTTTCTCAGAAATGGAAACAACATGGACAGCCTGCTGTTCGTCGCCACCGAAAGCTGATGTCAACAAGCTTCACCCACGCATCACTCATGGCAGGACTACACCCCAAAGGCTCAAGGAAGGGAAAGTTCTGGTCACTGGGACTCCTTGTCACCGCACAAAGCAAGCCAAGCACTGGAGGATGTGCTCACTCCGTCGGTGAAGAATGGGTTTGGAGAAACGCTGTGATGCTCTCCAAATGGATTGGACATCTTCCATTAACTTCATCCGGCCTGAACACAGCGGTTTGAGGAACGCTGGTTCAGCAGACTGGAAAAGGACTGTGTTGTTGTGCTTTCAAGTCATATGTGATTTATGGTGACCCTACCGTGTTGTGCCTTCAAGTAATATGTGACTTATGGTGAGCCTACCATGTTATGCCTTCAAGTAATATGTGACCTATGGTGATCCTACCATGTTGTGCCTTCAAGTCATATGTGACTTATGGTGACCCTACCATCTTGTGCCTTCAAGTCATATGTGACTTATGGAGATCGTACTGCGTTATGCCTTCAAGTCGTATATGACTTGTGGTGACCCTAGCATGTAGTGCCTTCAAGTCATATGTGACTTATGGTGATCCTACCATGTTGTGCCTTGAAGTCATATGTGACTTATGGTGATCCTACTGCATTGTGCCTTCAAGTCATATGTGACTTATGGTGACCCTACCATCTTGTGCCTTCAAGTCATATGTGACTTATGGAGATCGTACTGCGTTATGCCTTCAAGTCGTATGTGACTTGTGGTGACCCTAGCATGTAGTGCCTTCAAGTCATATGTGACTTATGGTGATCCTACCATGTTGTGCCTTGAAGTCATATGTGACTTATGGTGATCCTACTGCATTGTGCCTTCAAGTCATATGTGACTTATGGTGACCCTACCATCTTGTGCCTTCAAGTCATATGTGACTTATGGAGATCGTACTGCGTTATGCCTTCAAGTCGTATGTGACTTGTGGTGACCCTAGCATGTAGTGCCTTCAAGTCATATGTGACTTATGGTGATCCTACCATGTTGTGCCTTGAAGTCATATGTGACTTATGGTGATCCTACTGCATTGTGCCTTCAAGTCGTATGTGACTTATGGAGATCGTACTGCGTTATGCCTTCAAGTCGTATGTGACTTATTGTGTCCCTACCATGTGGTGCCTCCAAGTCATATATAACTTATGGTGTCCCTACCACATGGTGCCTTCAAGTCATATGTGACTTATGGTGATCCTACCATGTTGTGCCTTCAAATCGTATGTCACTTATAGTGCCCCTATCATGACTTGCCCCAAATCACCCAAGTTGGATCCACACTGCCATCTAAATTCCAGTTTCTGATCACAGATGATCTGGTTTCAAATGGTTTATACGAGTCTACACTGCCAGATAATCCGGGGTAAACAGGTAATCTGGGATGAGATAGTGGATTACAGGGCAGTGTAGATCTGGGATATAGGGTGGTGTAGATCCAGCCTCATATAGTCCAGTTCAAAGCAGATAATCTGGGATGAAATACTGGGTTTCAGGTCAGTGTAGATCCAGCCCCAGAGGGTTTCAGTGGTTGAATAGGGACTTCATCCAATGCTCAAAGCATAAAATCATAGACTTGGGCGCCTTCTACACTGCCATATAAAATCTAGAGGACCTCACAACCTCTGACGATGTCTGCCATAGATGCGAATGAAAATGCTTCTGGAGAGAATGCTTCTGGGACATGGCCATACATCCCGAAAAGCTCACAACAACCCAAAATCCAGATTATCTACTTTGAGTTAGACTATATGGCAGTGTAGACTCATATAATGTGGACTATCTGCTTTGAAAATCTGGATTATATGGCAGTGTGGATGGAACCTTTGAAGTGATTCCCCCCCCCCCCCAAGGGCCATCCAGTCCAACCCTCTTCTGCCAGTTCAAAGCAGATAACCTGAGGTCAGATCCTGGGATACAGGGCAGTGTGGATCCAGCTTCAGAGACCCTTTGTATTCATAGGTTGGACTACACTTCCCATCATCCCCAGATAGGAATAACAACAGACTCCTGTAATGGACTTGTCCTAGTGACTGCAGATGATGGGAAGTTGTACAGGAGTTGATTATAAATTGTATGATTTTAACTGTATTTGTGTTTAGATTGGCTGCAGTAATGCTGGAGCGGCCTAAGTCAGAGGAGTCCTCCATGTGCGTTGCCATGGAGACCGATGCAGGAGAGAGGGAAGTGGGAGGAGCTTAGAGGGGAGAGTTTGAAAAAACGACAGTTAAAAATCAGTTAGGGTTTAGGTTTAGAGGAGTGAGCAGTCCGGGTTTAGGTTCAGAGGAGTCAGGAGTTAGGAGTTGGGAGAGAAGGAAAGGAAAGGTGGCGGAGTGACTTGTGAAGCAAAGCTTTGAGGCTTTGAAAAGCTGGGTTTGGCTATTGGAAGTTTCTCAGGCTAGTGCAGCCGAATGGTGAAACATAGCTGGTATTCTTTTAGTCTAAGGAGAGGCTAAAGAATAGTTTACTTAGTATTTGATCTAGGGAGGATCAAATAAGGGAAACATCCCTGTATTGAAACTTTGTCTGAAACAAGTGCTCTACGTCAGAAAGATACTGTGTTACTTGAAAGAATGAACTGTTAAAGTTACAAGTATTATTCCAAGTGCAACAAGGAAAAGTTACGTCTTGCAACCACACGCTGTGTACTTAATAAAATTGTTAACTTTTATTTGAAGATTGCCTCAGCTCCGTCTATTCTGTGTCCAAAGTGCCATTTCTCACAATATTACAACTTACCTCACGTGGTGGCAGAAACGCAGGGAAAAGTAACCAAATAAATCTACATTCTTCTCTCCAGTCACGCTACAGTATATACAGTGTAATTACTACTAAGTTATTACTTTCTTAATAAAGGAGGAGGTGCAATTGAACAGCCTCCCTTCCAACTTGATGGTAAATTTGGTTCCTAATCGGCAACCTCCATTGCAAATCGGCCAGTTCTTTTTAAAATTGGGAACTGGGGTAAAATCTCCTGAATACTGGTTCCTTTCAAATTGGTGGCAACAATAAATCATCCCTCCGCTCTCTTGCTTCTTCGCAGAAGTATCATCTGGATCACATTGAAATGTCTCCAAAAGTGACCATCCGGAGCAGGTTTTCAACTGTTCTCCATCTTTATCATATTTCTTTTTGCACGTATGCAAATAACAATCATTGCAAATATGATGAAACGGGGAAACGAAAGTGTTTTGAACGCAGGATCCCTTTTGCAGGCCTGGCCTCCTGAGACCCCGAACGAGCTGTTTTGCAAAAGCTCACCTCGTTCACCTCTTCTGCTTGAAAAACCAACAACCACGATTCCTGTTTGGCAGCGTTTTAACCGTCGAGAGCTAAATTTATTGCCTAGGAAAATAAATTTAAAAGCAAACACCTACATCTCAAAAAAGATGCCATATATACTGGCAACATATGTATGTATGTATATGTCTGTGGATATGTGTGTGTGTGTATGTATATGTGTGTGTATGTATATGTGTATAAATATAAATATACATATACATATAAATGTAATGTTCGTTTGTGGGATTAACAGAACTCAAAAACCACTGGGGGAATTGACACCAAATTTGGACACAAGACACCTAACTCCCCAATGTATGCCCTTCACTCAAAAAAATTGATTTTGTCATTTGGGAGTTGTAGTTGCTGGGATTTATAGTTCACCTACCATCAAAGAGCATTCTGAACTCCACCAATGATGGAATTGAACCAAACATGGCACACAGGACTCCCATGACCAACAAAAAACACTAGAAGGGGTTGGTGGGCATTGACCTTGAGTTTGGGAGTTGTAGTACACCTACATCCAGAGAGCACTGTGGACTCAAACAGTGATGGATCTGGGCCAAACTTGGCACACATACCTGATATGCCAAAATTTGATTACTGAAAGGGAACTGGCTTTCCTTTGATTACTGGAGGGGAGATGTAGTTCACCTACTGTCCTTTGTGTCTGGGAATTGTAGTTCACCTGTCCTTCCTTTCTGGGAGTTGTAGTTCACCCACAACCAGAAAAACTGTGATCTCCACCGATGGTGGACCTGGACTAAAGTTGGCACACGGAACCCCCATGACTAACACAACCTACTGAAGGGGTTAAAGTGGACTGACTCACCATAGTGGGAGTTATAGTTTACCCTATAGCCAGAGAGCGCACTGAACCCCACCGATGATGCATCTAGAGGAAACTTGCCCAATGTAACAAACTTTAAGTACTGATGGAGTTTCTTGGGGTTAACCTGGCATGATGGGAATTGTAGTTCACCCACAACCTTATGCAGTTTGTACAATTAAAAAATGACTTTTTAAAAATAACTTGGGGAACCAGGTTATTAATAGCCGCGTACCCAAGCTAGTAAATAATAATGAAGGTGGTAGTGGTGATGGTAGTGATGATGGGTGACTACCAAACTTTCTCATCCCTAATGGTTCCATTGCCAAAATCTTCTTAATATACATATAGTTTGCTGGGTTTAGGGGCACAGGAGCCCCATGAAAGTGATAAACCACATACAAATTGCCTTTCCCAAATATCTCCAGGGATTTCTAGGTCTTCCAGCACAACTCCATGGTCAACAGCCATTGGAAGATGGTCATAGAATCGCATAGGACATAAAGAGCTTCCTAAAGAGACTCTCTTTTAATTGAATCCGCAAAATGTGGAAGGAGGACAGAAGTTGGAAAGCAACAGTTCTAGAGTGTTGGTCTTTTACCTGGATATAGAAGGTCCTATAACTTGTGGTGACTTCGAAGAGATTGTCCCGCATTAGGAGGTCCCTGGAAAAACAGGAAAAGAGAAGTTGAGATGCAACCCAACAGACACACAATGGACATATTTATTATTCCTCTTCATCGTGATCTAATACAGTAGTTCTCAACCTTCCTAATGTTGCAACGCCCTTAATACAGTTCCTCAGGAAAGGCAAAAGCTGCACATCGCAGTGCTGAACCTGACTCAGCACATAGAAGATGGCTTTGAAAGGCAGCAGATCACAGGAGCTGTCTTCATAGACCTGTCAGCAGCCTATGATACTGTGAACCACCACCTCCTCCTGAGAAAAATGTATAATATCACAAAGGACTACCACCTCACCCGCCTCATAGGAAACCTGCTACAAAACAGGAGCTTTTTGTTGAGTTCCAGGGCCAGAGAAGCAGATGGCGGAAACAGAAGAACGGCCTGCCTCAGGGGAGCATGCTTGCTCCATCCATGTTCAACATCTACACAAATGGACCAGCCACTGCCAGAAGGGACAGAGAGTTTCATCTATGCTGATGATCGTGCCATTACTGCTCAAGCAGGAAGCTTTGAGATTGTAGAACAGAAGCTCTCTGAAGCTCTAGGTGCTCTTACTGCCTAATACAGGGAAAACCAGCTGATCCCTAATCCATCTAAAACACAGACATGTGCCTTTCGCCTTAAGAACAGACAAGCATCCCTAGCTCTGAGGATTATTACTTGGGAAGGAATCCCACTGGAGCATTGCAGCGCACCCAAATACCTGGGAGTCACTCTGGACCATACTCTGACCTACAAGAAGCACTGCCTGAACATCAAGCAAAAAGTGGGTGCTAGAAACAATATCATAGGAAAGCTGACTGGCACAACCTGGGGATCACAACCAGACACAGTGAAGACATCTGCCCTTGTGCTTTGCTACTCTGCTGCTGAGTATGCATGCCCAGTGTGGAACACATTTCACCACGCTAAAACAGTGGGTGTGTCTCTTAATGAGACATGCTGCATTATCACGGGGTGTCTGCGCCCTACACCACTGGAGAAATTACATTGTTTAGCCGGTATCGCACCACTGGGAAGTAGCAGCCAATAGTGAAAGGACCAAGGCAGAGACATCTCCAGCTCATCCCCTGTTTGGGTATCAGCCAGCACGCCAACGACTTAAATCAAGAAATAGTTTTCTAAGATCTACAGAGACACTCGCTGGAACACCTCAGCAAGCGAGAGTCCAAAAGTGGCAGGCTCAAACCCAGCACCTCAATCCGTGGGTGATACCAGATGAGAGACTCCCCCCTGGGCACACAGAAGACTGGGCGACTTGGAAGGTGCTCTGGCACCACGAGATGCAGAGCCAACCTTAAGAAATGGGGCCACAAAGTGGAATCCACGACATGCGAGTGTGGAGAGGAGCAACCCACTGACCACCTGCTGCAATGCAACCTGAGCACTCTGTTTTGTCTGTTTGTTTAAAATATGCTAAAAATGTAATACAATTGTCTGGTTGATACTGACACGATAAATAAAAAATATAGTTCCTCATGTTGTGGTGACTCTCAACCGTAACATTGTTTTCGTTGCTACTTCACAACTCTAATTCTGTTACTGTTATCAATTGTGATGTAAGTATCTGAAATGCAGGATGTATTTTCATTCAGTTGACCAAATTTGGCACAAATACCCACCTTCAGCAAGATGGCTTCTACCTTCAGCAAGAGGAACCACACAAGCATAAAGGCTGGCGTCCCATCAGCCGAAAACGCTTTAGACACCAAGTGCCAACCACTAAGGGAAAGTCAAACCAGAAAAGGGAAGTCATACCCAGATTTGACAAGGCATTCGTGGACTTTCAGCACATCCTTGAGCAGGATCGTCCGCAATGGCTCCTTGTCCTGAGGAAAGGCAAAAGAGATGCTGGCTGAGCAAAGGAAATTGAGAAGGAGGAGGAGAAGGATGTTGCACTCCAGGACACCACACCATTGGATTGCAAACAATCCTTTTATTGAAGATAATTAAAAAGCAATAAGGTAAAAAACACTTTAAGGAAATAGGTAAATCCAATTAGGTAGGAAAATAAGCAGGAACAAAGTAGTCCAGGGTTATAGTCCAGCAAAATCCATAAAAACAAAGTCAATAACTAGGTTCTTGTGGGTTTTTTTGGGCTATATGGCCATGTTCTAGAGGCATTTTCTCCTGACGTTTCGCCTGCATCAATGGCAAGTATCCTCAGAGGTAGTGAGGTCTGTTGGAAAGTCAAAAACTTCCCAGATAATGTAAAAAATCAGGAAACATGAACCCAAGGAATGAATATAGAAGCATGAAATCCAAGAATCAAAACCATGAAACAAAGGCACTTAGAACATGAATTTCCCAAACAAAACTTCCATAAACAAGGACAAGAATGTGACTTGATTCCAAATGATGCTTCATCTGACTACATATCCTGTACTTGGGACTTTTATCTCCTCGTTAGCTAAGTCTCTAGCATTCAGAAATTGGTTTCATTTTAACTGAGAACTTCTTATCTTTTTCTCTCAAAGCCTGGCAGACTGCCGAAGCCACTGTTCGGCTCTCCTGTTTTGAGTAATCTCCTCGCGTTTATCTATTTGCTCATTAATTTCTGCAGCTGGGCCAGGTGCCAAGCGGTTTTCATGTTCCCTATCATGGGAACTCTCTGGTAACAATTCAGAAAGCACACCACCATCCCCACCCCCCTCAGTGACATTCTCATGAGAAACTACACTTTGAACAGGGATCTCCTGGCCATTCTCTGCATCAAGATCATTGACCAAACACTTGCCATCTTGAAACTCATTGACTTCACTCCCCACATCCAAAGCACCCTGATCCTGAAACACAATCACAGGCTGAGCTCCAACACATGTTGGTTGCCAACCAATATTGACAATCCCCTGGCAAACTGATCTTGATAGATCTGCAGTCAGAATAAGCCATACTTGGGACAAGTTGAAGAAGAAGAGGAGGAGAAGGAGGAAGAAGCAGAAGAAGAAAAGAGGAAGAAGAGGAGGAGGGGAAGAAGAAGAAGAAGAGGAAGAAGAAGAGGAGGAGGGGAAGAAGAAGAAGAGGAGGAGGAGGAGGTAGAAGAAGAAGAAGAGGGGGGGAGGAAGAAGAAGAGAAGGAGAAGGATGGGAAATGGAGGGGAATAAGAAGATGAAGAAGAAGAAGAGGAGAAGGAGGAAGAAGCAGAAGAAGAAAAGAGGAAGAAGAGGAGGAGGGGAAGAAGAAGAAGAAGAGGAAGAAGAAGAGGAGGAGGGGAAGAAGAAGAAGAGGAGGAGGAGGAGGTAGAAGAAGAAGAAGAGGGGGGGAGGAAGAAGAAGAGAAGGAGAAGGATGGGAAATGGAGGGGAATAAGAAGATGAAGAAGAAGAGGAGGAGAAGGAGGAAGAGGAGGAGGAGGAGAGGAAGGAGAAGGAGGAGGAGAAGGAGAAAGAGAAGGAGAAGGAGGGAATGGAGGGGAATATAATAAGAAAGAGCCCCCGGTGGCGCAGTGGGTTAAAGCACTGAGCTGCTGAGCTTGTTGATCGAAAGGTCGCAGGTTCGATTCCGGGGAGCGGCGTGAGCTTCCGCTGTCAGCCCTAGCTTCTACCAACCTAGCAGTTCGAAAACATGCAAATGTGAGTAGATCAATAGGTACCGCTCCGGCGGGAAGGTAACGGCGCTCCATGCAGTCATGCCGGCCACATGACCTTGGAGGTGTCTATGGACAACGCTGGCTCTTCGGCTTAGAAATGGAGATGAGCACCACACCCCAGAGTCAGACATGACTGGACTTAATGTCAGGGGACTACCTTTACCTACCTTAAGAAGAGGAGGAGGAGGAGGACGAAGAAGCAGAAGAAGAAGAAGAAGAAGAAGAAGAAGAGGAGGAGGAGGAGGAGAGGAGGAAGAAGAAGAAGAAGAAAAGAAGAAGAAGAAGAAGAAGAAGAAGAGGAGGAGGAGGAAGAGGAGGAGAAGAAGAAGAGGAGAAAGAGGAGGAGCAGGGAAATGGAAGGGAAGAAGAAGAAGAGGAGGAGGAGGAGGAGGAAGAGGAAGGGAAGAAGAAGGAGGAGGAGGAGGAGGGGAGGGAGGAGAGGAGGAGGAGGAGGGGGAGGAGGAGGTGGTGGAGGAGGAGGTGGAAGAAGAGAAGGAGGAGGAGATGAAAAGAGAAGAAGAAGAGGAGGAGGAGGAGGAGAGAAGAGGAGGAGGAGGAGGAGTAGAAGAAGGAGAAGTCAATTAATCAGAAGAAGAGGAGGAGGAGAAGGAGGAGGAGGAGGAAAATCGAAGGAGAAGGAAGAAGAAGAAGAAGAAGAGGAGGAGGAGGGGAGGAGGAGGAGGAGGAGGAGGAGGAGGAGGAGGAAGAGGAAGAGGAAGAAGAAGAAGAGTTGTTGTTGTTGTTATTGTTTTGGAGCACAATACTCCTGACTCCACGATTGTGGGGAAAAAACAATAGTGGATGTAGATGTTGCAATCCCAGGCAACAGCCGAATTGAGGAGAAGCAACTGGAAAAGCTGACAAGATACAAGGATTTAAAGATGGAACTGCAAAGCAACCCAAATGTAAAAGGTGAAGTTGAACCTATTGGAAGACTGCAATGCCGCCTTTCACCACTGGGTGGCAGGCTGCTCTTCCAAGGAAAAGATGAAACCTGAGGATTGCCTAGTTTTTACGAAAATGACAGTCTGAACCTTGTATCCACAGGGGATGCATTCACGGAAAGAGGAATCCATGAATTATAGCAAACCCACCTTAATGGAAAATGAGGCTTTAGCTGCAAGGGGATGGGATGCTCACTAGTCACAGGATAAATCTTACCCTGGATGGCGAGGCGCTATGCCCGTCCTCGTTGGTCAAGAGTCTGGGAGTCCTTTTGGACCCTCTCTTTCTGACGATGGAGGCCCAGGTCTCTCTCCGCCGTGAGCAGAACCGCCTTCTTTCTTTCACCTGCGGCAGGCTAGACGGCTGGCCCCCTCCCCATCCAGGGACGACCTGGCTACGGTGATCCAGACCACGGTCATCTCCAGACTGGACTACTGTAACGCCCTCTACATTGGCCTTCCTCTGTCGGTGATCCGGAAGCTCAAGTTGGTACAAAACACAGCTGCTCGGCTTCTTGCGGGAATTCCGATGAGATGCCACATCACCCCAATCTTACTCCAGCTGCATTGGTTACTCATTGAGCACCAGATCACTTTCAAAGGGACTCACCTTGAAGGCCTTGCATGGTCTGGGGCCGATGTACCTGAGGGACCGCCTCACCCCCTCCCAACCCCAGAGATCCCTCCGTTCTGAGGACCAAGATCTAGTGGAAATTCCCAGTGTCAAGACCTTGCGCCTAACAGCAACCAGACGCAGAGCCTTCACAACAGTGGCACCATCACTCTGGAACACTCTGCCACCTGAAGTCCGTGCCTTGCGGGACTTCTCAGCTTTCTGTAGGGCACGTATGACATACCTGTTTCGACAGGCCTTTGATTTTTGATATTGCTGCTTTTAATTTGTTTTAAATTGTTTTTAAATTGTGTTCGATTTTAGCCATTCTTGTAAGCCTCTCCGAGCCCCAGGGGAGTGGCCGCATAGAAGTTCAAATAATAATTAAGCAAATAAATAAAGCAAATCGTGCCTTGACTACCTACCTGTTCGCACTTGTAGTAACTGATGGAAAAATCATCCAGAGTGAAAAACCGTCGTTTCCAGCTCTTTCTCTGAAAGGCAGGAAAATATATATATATTGTAAGACTCGCATCCTTTCCAGCTCCTTTGCTGCTGTCTCAAACAGATTCAGATAGATAGATAGATAGATAGTAGGGCTGGGCGGTTTCGTTTTGTTGATTCGTAATTCGTTAAAAATTCGTTATTTTTTTTATAACGAAGCGATAACGAACCATTCTGGAGCAACTTAAAAACGAAACGAATTTTTAAATTTGTTTCGTAAATGCTTCGGATTCGTTACTGTATTCGTTTCGTTATCGGTTTGAGGTCGTTTCGTTATTATTTCCGCATGTCTGGGGCAAGTTTTATAGTTGTTTTTTGTTTAATTAGTGAAAAAAAATATTATAATATCACACCAACAGTCAACAACAGAGGGAGAGGGAAGCTTCAGAAGTTCCCCCTGTCCCATTTGGAGGTTTTTTAGCGTATTGCGGTCGCGTCCGCCATTAACGAATCGATTCGTTATTGTTTCGTATTTGTTTCGTTAATGTTTCGTAATTTTTTTTAACATTTACGAAATTTCGTAAATATCGAACTTTTTTTAAAAAAAATTTTGGAATTATTTTAAATATCGAAACGCAAAAAACCCCAAAAAAGGAATCGATTTTAGAAACATTTTTTTCCATTGTTACCCAGGCCTAATAGATAGATAGTAGGGCTGTCCAAACTTTCTAAACTCGATTCGTTTTTAGGGTTTTTTTGCGTTTCGTTATTTAAAAGAATTCCGAAATTTTCCTTAAAAAAAGTTCGATATTTACGAAATTTCGGAAATCATAAAACAATTACGAAACAATTACGAATCGATTCGTTAATGGCGGCCGCGATCGCGCAATACGCTAAAAAAACTTCTGAAGCTTCCCTCTCCCTCTGTTGTTGACTGTTGGTGTGATAATTATATTTTTTTTCACTGAGAAAACAAAAAGCAACCCTAAAACTTGCACCAGACATGCGGAAATAATAACGAAACATTTACGAATCAATAACGAATCAATAACAATTACGAAACAATTACGAAACGAATTGGAAAAATTCGTTTCGTTTTTTAGTTGCTCCTGAATGGTTCAATATCGCTTCATTATCCAAAAAAAACCACGAATTTTTAATTACGAATTACGAAATTACGAAACGAAACCGCCCAGCCCTAATAGATAGATATGAAAATGTAAAGTTCGTTTGTGGGATGAACATAGCTCAAAAACCACTGGACGAATGGACACCAAATTTGGACACAAGACACCTCTCAGGCCAAGAAGCGACCATCACTCATAAAAAACACTGAAAAACACAGCAGAAGGGACTTTAAAAGCAAAAAAAAGTTACAATGCATGCGCAAAAACATATAGATATAGATATAGATACACACACACACATACACACTAGCCGGCCCCTGCCACACGTTGCTGTGGCCCAGTATAGTGATCTGGAAAATAAAGAGAAAGTGTTGGTTTCTAATATATGTAATTTCTTTCTGCTTGTGTTGATGCAGAGATTGTCTGGTTGGCCTACTCCGGAATATCCTTGTTTAGGGGTCCCTTTCACATCTATCATACTATGTGTGTGTGTGTGTGTGTATGTGTAAATAATATCTATCTATACCTATGGCTGGATAGCTCTTTGTCAGGAGGGCTTTGATTACGTTTTCTTGCCCTGATGAAGGGAGTTGGACTCAATTGCCTTAAGTATTTTCTGTTGGTCATGCATAGGGGTTCTGTGTGGGAAATGTGCCCCCATTCTGTTGTTTGTGGGGTTCAGAATGCTCTTTAATTGTAGGTGAACTATGAATCCCAGCAACCACAACTCCCAAATGACAAAGTAATTTTTTTTTGAGTGAAGGACATACATTGGGTTGTGAGGTGTCTTGTGTCCAACTTTGGTGTCAATTCATCCAGTGGTTTTTGAGTTCTGTTAATCCCACAAACGAACATCACATTTTTATTTATATAGATATATATAAATAAAACAAACATATACACAAATACATAAACAAACATATACACAAATATATACACACATATATACACACACAAAACACATGTACACAGTCTGGGCCACAGCAACGTGTGGCAGGGGACGGCTAGTGTGTGTATGTATGTGTGTGTATATATACACACACACACATATATATGTGTGTGAGTGTGCGTGCATCTATATAAATAAAAATGTAATGTTCGTTTGTGGGATTAACAGAACTCAAAAACCAGTGGGCCACTTGACACCAAATTTGGACACAAGACACCTATCAGGCCAATGTATGTCCTTCACTCAAAAAAATTGATTTTGTCATTTGGGAGTTGTAGTTGCTGGGATTTATAGTTCACCTACAATCAAAGAGCATTCTGAACCCCACCAACAATAGAATTGAACCAAACTTGGCACACAGTTCTCCCATGACCAACAGAAAACTCTGGAAGGGCTTGGTGGACAGTGTTCTTTGGTTTGGGAGTTGTAGTTCACCTACATCCAGAGATCACTGTGGACTCAAACAATGATGGATCTGGACCAAACTCTACACAAATACTCAATATGCCCAAATGTGAACACTGGTGGAGTGTGGGGAAAATAGACTCTTGACATTTGGGAGTTGTGGTTGCTGGGAATTATATTTCACCTACAATCACAGAGCATTCTGAACCCCACCAACGATAGAATTGGGCCAAACCTCCCACACAGAACCCCCATGTGGGCCACAGCAACGCGTGGCAGGGGATGGCTAGTCTATATATATATAGTTTCCAGGCTTTTGACCATTTTAGTCGCCCTCCTCCGCACATGTTATAGCTTGCCAATATCTATTTTAAATTGTGGTGCCCACTAAGGTTTGACCACAGAAGAATAGAGGGCTCCATGACTTCCTTGAATCGAGATAATCTACTCTTTTCAATGGTGGACACCTACCACGTTCCCTTGTTTGACACAGAAGCCACTCTTGAGGACTGGGGGCCCAAGAGGCGTTTTGGTGCTGGGGATGTAACTCTGGGACCGTCTCAACAGCGGGTGGACCACGGCGGGTTCGTTGCCTTCTGAGCCTTCCCCTCCATTCTGGAGACAAGAGAGAGAACTGGTCATGGCCATCCCAAAACAAAGGTCACCATGAGATACATCAGGAAAGAAATGCAAAGTGAGTCCTAGGTCAGGCATGCGCAACACTTCGGCCTTCCAGGTGTTTTGGACTTCAACTCCCATAATTCCTAACAGCCGGAAGGCACAAACACTCTCCATTCATCTGCCACTGGCCTGGCCTGCCTGTCAAATTTCAAAACACAATGCGTCAAAACGTTTGCCCATGCCATATATATACATACACACACACACGCACACACACATATATATCTATATAATCTACATTATATATAATACACTATAATATATAACATATATAACACACACACAGACAGATATACATATATATATATGTTCTGTTCGTTTTTAGTGACACCATAAGACACCTGTTAACCCAAGGAGTGACCATCACTCATTTGGGAGTTGTAGTTTCTGGGATTTATAGTTCACCTACAATCAAAGAGCATTCTGAACTCCACCAACGATGGAATTGAAGCAAACTTGTCACACAGAACTCCCATATCCATCGGAAAATACCAGAAGGGTTTGGTGGGCAATGACCTTGAGTTTTGGAGTTGTAGTTCACCTACATCCAGAGAGCACTGTGGACTCAAACAATGAAGAATCTAGACCAAACTTGTTACATATACTCCATATGCCCAAATATGACCACAGATGGAGTTTGGGGAAAATAGACCTTGACATTTGGGAGTTGTAGTTACTGGGAATTATAGTTCATTGACAATCAAAGAGCATTGTGGACCCCACCAATGATAGAACTGGGCCAAACTTCCTACACAGAACTCTCATAACTGACAGAATACTAGAAGAGTTTGGTGGGCATTGACCTTGAGTTTGGGAGTTTATTTCACCTATATCCAGAGAGCACTGTGGACTCAAACAATGATGGATCTGGACCAAACTTGGCACAAATACTCAATATGCCCAATGTGAACATGCTTGGGGGAAATAGACCTTGCATTTGGGAGTTGTATTGCTGGGATTTATAGTTCACCTACAATCAAAGAATATTCTGAACCCACCAACAGTAGAAAACCAAACTTCCCATGCAGAACCCTCACAACCAACAGAAAATACTTTGGCTTTGGTGACATACAACAGAAGATACTTTGTTTTTCTGTTTATTTGTTACCCTTCTGACACCCCTCGTCACCCCCTCAGGGGGTCCTCGACCCCCATCAAATACCTAAGGCCATCCAGTCCAACTGCTTTCACCAGGGCAGGAAAATGTAATCAAAGCTCTCCTGACAAAGAGCCATCCAGCCACAGATATAGATATATATGATTCACACACACTCAGATATAGTATCCTAGATTTGAAAGGGACCCCTAAAGAAGGACAATTACTTGCATGTTCTAATATCTTGCATGTTCTAATATTCTAATATCTACTCTGGAACATGCGAAAATATCTTGCATGTTCCAGAGTAGACAAACTAGACAATCTCGACATCAACACTGACAAAGAAACAGCAAGAAATATTGTTTACCCACAAGCAGAAAGCAATTACATATATTAGAAACCAATACTTTCTCATTACTTTATTTTCCAGGTCACCAGACTGGGCCACAGCAACACCTGGCAGGGGATGGCTAGTAATACAAGGGTTGAATGAAAAGTAATGCCTCCATCTTCATTACTTGGGTTTGGAGGGGAATATTTTAATAAATCAAACGCAGAAATAATCCTTGAAATGTGCTCTTTAATTACCACTTTTCACTTTTTCACATAATCACCAGACAATTGGATACATTTCTGCCAAAGATGAACAAGTTTTCTGAAGCCGTCACAGAAGAAGTCGACACTCTGTTTCCGCATCCCATCGTGCACAGATCTTCTGATAGCCAAGCAAAGCAATAATGTGACCAATACGTTCTTGTGAAATGCTGATTATGCTTGAAATTTCTCTCTGAGTGATATGACGATCATCCTGAATATCTCTCTCAACCTTTTGCTTGTGAAACTCGGTGGTTGCTGTCACAGGACGTCCAACTCTTTGTTTATCACGCAAGTCAGATGTYCCCACCTCAACATCTTTAAACTTACTTGCCAAATGACGCACAGCAMTCACATCAACACAACCACCATAAACAGCTTGCATTCTCTGATTAATCTCCTTTGGGGTGACATCTTCTGCTGTCAAGAATTCAATGACTGCACGTTGCTTAAGTCGCATTGACCAACCGTGTGCACAGGGTTCCATACTTCGCACTTTAACAACACAACCGTTCAATGCTAAGGAACTGTAGAGGAGAGTTTACTCAACAAGCCAGTACTTGCCGCATACATTGTTTAAGTCACATTGACTGACCGTCTGCACAGGGTTCCATACTTCGTACTTTAACAACGCAACTGTTCAATGCTAAGGAACTGTAGAGGAGAGTTTACTGAACAAGCCAGTACCTGCCACATATGTTGTTTAAGTCGCATTGACTGATCGTGTGCACAGGGTTCCAGACTTCACACTTTAACAACACAACCGTTCAATGCTAAGGAACTGTAGAGGAGAGTTTACTGAACAAGCCAGTACTTGCCGCATACATTGTTTAAGTTGCATTGACTGACYGTCTGCACAGGGTTCCATACTTCTCACTTTAACAACACAACCGTTCAGTGCTAAGGAACTGTAGAGGAGAGTTTACTGAACAAGCCAGTACCTGCCGCATACATTGTTTAAGTCGCATTGACCGACCGTGTGCACAGGGTTCCATACTTCGCACTTTAACAACACAACCGTTCAGTGCTAAGGAACTGTAGAGGAGAGTCTACTGAACAAGACAGTACCTGCCGCATACATTGTTTAAGTCGCATTGACAGACCGTCTCCAAGGATTCCATACTTTGCACTTTAACAACACAACCGTTCAATGCTAAGGAACTGTAGAGGAGAGTTTACTGAACAAGCCAGTACCTGCCGCATACATTGCTTAAGTTGCATTGACCGACCATCTGCACAGGGTTCCATACTTCGCACTTTAACAACACAATCATTCAATGCTATGGCTCCCCACCAAAATGGAACTGTAGAGGAGAGTCTACTGAAAAAGCCAGTACCTGCTACATACCAGTACTTCCATCTGTTGAGGAGTTACGAAGGTGGAGGCATTACTTTTCATTCAATCCTCGTATATAAACATTTATTGGGGCTCCACGAGAAACTTTGGCTTCAAAAAGGGGCTCTGCAGCTGAAAAAGTGTGAGAACCCTGTTATAGTAGAGTCTGTTGGCAACTCTGCAACTGGTAGTAGGAGTGTCAGAGGAGGGAAAAGAGGTATTCAGAAACTAGATGAGGAACAGCAGAGGAAGAGGATCCAGGAGAGACTTATATCACCCACTGATGAAGAATCCTTCGAGGGGTTTTCTGGGAGTGAAAAGAGTGAGGAGGAGGAAGGAGATACAGTAAATGTGAATAGGGGAACTAAGAGGATTACTCAAGAGCAAGAGTCAGACAAAGCGCATCAGAGAAAGAAGATCTGGGAGATACTTACTGCTCCCATGGAGGAAGAGGATTCCATGGGTTTTTCTGGGAATGATGGGTCTGGGAGTGATGGGGATGAGGAGGAAGCACTAGATTGGACCAACGTACAAGAGGTTCAGAATGTGTGTACTCAATCAACGTCCGGTGACACATTTGTGGGGTTTTCTGGTGGTGGGGATTGGCAATCGGGAGATACTGGGGATTCTTGGGGAGACCTAAGTCTTGACAAGAGGTGGAAGAGTTGGAGGGATGGGCGTTAGCGCTCAGCTGTGGAAGCTAAACCAGCTGAGAGTGATGAGGATGGGCTGGAGGGCAGCTCATCATCGGATGATGGGTTGTAAGATAAAAGTAGGCACTGAGTTGTTAGAACTTTGCAGTAGGCAAAGTGTTGGTTTCGTGCCTTGGGTCTTGTCGCTGCCGCTTTCCTGTTGGGCTTGGGTCCTGGATCTGCAGGTTGCTGTTTTGCTTCGTGTACCGACTGGCTTGGATTCTCATAAGTGTGGATTTCCCCTCTCCTTGACTTCGGCTGCTTTTGACGACGACGCTGCCTTGTGGACTTTGGAACCTTTCAACTTTGGACTTGGATTTCTCCGACTTTGGACTTCATTTGGACAACGGCTCTTCTTCGCGGCTCTTTGTTGGATTGTTTTCCTTTTGCTGTGTGATTGTGGGGTGTTTTGGAAGAACTCCTGTTTAATCCGGGTTTTTTACCAGGATAATCCGGATTATTGACTAAGTTTGTTATTCAAGCTAGAAATTGCTACCACTTTTGAGTTTTGACCAGAGGCACTGAAGCAAATGTCTCCGAGTCCTGTTTACTTTGCTTTAATAAACTATCCTTTTGGACATACTCCTGAGTCTGGCTCTTAAGGCATCTGGGTTCCGACAAACCCTTGCCCTAAAGGCACCATATTTTGGAATCTAAGCAGGCTCAGCCTTGGTTTGGACTCAGATGGCAGAAAGCTAATGACGGGGTGCCATAGGATATATTTCAGAGGAAGGAACTGGCAAAGCCACCTCTGAATATTCCTTGCCCAAGGAAATGCTATGAAGTTCATGAGGTCACCATAAGCCAAACAGGCGACATGAAGGCACATACACACAGAGAAGAATTATGTTTTCTTGTGTACAACAAGACAGGGATATCCCAAGCATTTCTCCTCCTCCATAGGGGCATAGTGTCTAGATCTAGGGAAGTAATGCCACTTTCGTTAGATCACACCTGGAATATTGTGTCCAATTCTGGGCATCACAATTCAAGAGAGATATTGACAAGCTGGAATGTGTCCAGAGGAGGGCGACTAAAATGATCAAGGGTCTGGAGAACAAGCCCTATGAGGAGTGGCTTAAGGAGCTAGGCATGTTTAGCCTGAAGAAGAGAAGGCTGAGAGGAGATATGATGATGGCCATGTATAAATATGTGAGAGGAAGCCACAGGGAGGAGGAGGGAGCAAGCTTCCTTTCTGCTTCCTTTGAGACTA